TTGCTTTTATGTCCATCGTCTTTTTCATGTTGAATATTCATCAGGAGGTTGAAAGGTAGGTCTACGGGAGAACGCGGTTGTAGTAAAACCAATATATGTAGTGGGTTTATTATTAGTATCAGAGATACAATCTGAATGGTCATGTAAATTGATACACTACATTGGTTTTTGTAGGGGATTTAGTGATGTGGTTCTAGGGTTATTAGAGTCTATGAAGTCAATTGTTTTAATTCTTTTATAGTATGCAATGATCTTAACTTGTTTATTATTATTAATGGGTTTAACATTTCTACCTATTATGTTTTTGAGTGTTGTTTCATCATGTTTGTTATTATGCATTTAGTTACAATAGTACAAATTGATAGTGTTATGTTTATTTTGACGTAGAAAAAAAACATAATATTATTAATTTTGTATTATTAAGTTTATTGAGATACATTTTAATTTGTTGATCAACGACGGAATTAGGAAAACCATAACAAGTGTTTGTCTAACCTTATGTAATTATTTATAGAATATGGTTTTGGAAGAAGATATCATTTGTGTACGTTGGATAAGTTGATAACACAATAATATACATACACACAGTAAAAAGAACCTTCAGATATTGGAGGCCATCTTCATTGAAGCAAAGCAACCCACACTCAACAAAATTACATTTCAAACTAGTCACAACACATTACTCTGCATCTAGACATATGGTTCTGTTGTTAATATTTCGACACTTCACCGGGTATGACGTCATAGAACCGCATCTTGATCTTACGACCTGCATCTGCTATTCCGCGACCGTTATCATCGCAAAGCAATCTTCTATGTCAACATAACAAAATATTATCTTCGATGGGGAATACCATCGTTAAAATGTCCGTATAACCACTCTGAAGATGACTTATGTGAGCCGAAAGCTTAGATCAAGGACCATCTTATTAAAAAAATATCCAGATGCTGGACAATTTTTGTCTATTTTTACCCGAAAATAAAGCAAATATACGAACATTAGAACGGCTTATGATCATACACAATAGACATTCACCGTCTGTTAAATTTAACAATATATGTTTAAATAATGATCCGCTGCCCCAGAACACTAATATATATACACACACACACACACACACACACACATATATATATATATATATATATATATATATATATATATATATATATATATATCTTGAAAGCAATCGGTTGTCGAGCCACATTGAAGAGCTGTTATGCAGCGAAACAGTCTGTCTGTAGATGACAATATATACGCATCCGAAAAACTTATATTCGGTTGTGCACTCTTGGAAGATAAGTACGAATTTGTAAACAATGACTACTAATATGACAAGGCTCTTCCCTTACCTGTACTGAGCACTGTCAGTCATTGGCCTGTTTATTCACGGAATAAATACGTAAAATTCACCTTTCTTTCAATCGTGCATCGATGGTTTAAGGGGAAAATCTCCGACTGTTGCCGAATCAGTCGGGTTTCGTTCCCTGCTTGAAGCAATCGGTGCAAGATGTTAATAATACTAACATCTATATAAGATGTTAATAATACTAACTAAACATCAATACAGAGCTATATTAAATCAAAATGAATTTTACAAACAGAATAGTAAGCCATATAAGGTGCAAGGCAGTTCATCTACTGATTATTACTATAAGAAAAAGTATTATGAAATTTAAAGTTTAAATATATTGTAAGGTAAAAGGTAGACTATGCCTACAACTTACAGTCAATTTACTTCTTTGTTTAATAAGTTCTTTTTTTCAGAAAATCTTGTAATTTCTCATTTTTCAAGTAAGCCTAGAAATCAGGGTTTATTTAAAGATCTGCCTGTTCTAGCTTTTTTCTTAAAATTTACATTTTACATTCAGAGTTTTATTGGCTTCTTTTAAATTCCAAAAATATTTAGAAAGATGGTACCAACATAGTTTATCCTTCAACAATAGTACTTATAAAAATAGTACATCTCATATATATATATATATATATATATATATATATATATATATATATATATGGATATATACATACACATACATATGGATATATACATACACACACGCATGTGTGTATGTGTGTGCCTATGTGTGTTAGTCGTTGGCTCCGATAAGTGCCTCATCCGCCCTTTGACAGGTCTTGATTTTCTGCATTCTGATATTAATAGATTAAATATTTCTCTCTTTTATAATCCACAACATATCATGATAAAAGTTAAACATATAATTAATGTTGGTGACTTGACATACCAAGGCCCGGCGCAAATTGCAAGAAATTACAATCGTCATGGAAGATCTGAATGTCAAAGGAAACAATAAAATGGTGAGATAGTTGCCGAAATTGGTCTCAGAACTCGTAATGACTGCGAAGAAAAATAATTCCAGCGGTTCACGATGAATTATTAAGTAGTAGGCAAGATCTGGTTTCAAGAACAACAAAGATTTATATCAATATAGAGAATACCAGGAAGAGAAATAAAAGATAAAACAAATCAACTATATATCTATCAATAAGAGATTCAGGAATGCAGTGTTACACTGCAAAACATAACTAAGTGCCGACTGCGGGAGAGATCACCTTCTAGTGATATGTAAACTTGAAACTACGGAAATGGAATAGGGCTAAGATAGCACCCAAATTGTGATGGAACAGCTTTTGTAGTTTTCTTTCCGTGTCTGCCATCAATACCGTATCATCTGCATCCGTTTCATATCTTACATTGTTAGGATTGTGGCCACCAAGAATGAATCATGATAGGATTTCTAATTCCCTCACCATTGCCTCTCTGTTTAGGCTAAATAAATCAGGTGAGAAGACATATCTTTGTCTTAAATCTTTTTCTGTTTTTGTATATCCGCTGAACTCATTTTCTGTTCGTATTCAGGCGGTTTGCTGCCAGTATAGATTCTTGATTATTCTAATGCTTTTCCCTAATATTCCAAAGTTGCTGAGTAGCTCTAACAGATCTTTGTGGCGTACTTTGTCCAACACCTTTGCGTAGACTACAAAACACAATTACACGTCCTTCTGTATTTATAGTCCTATTTGAAATGAAATTCTGAGCATAAATATCGTGTTCTTTATTCCAGTGTCTTTGACGAACCTGCACGTTCTTTGTCCTATCTCTGGCCTGATTCTGCCGCGCGATCTATTTATCAAAATTCATGATGATGAGTTTTGTTATTTGGTTCATTAGACTGATTGCTCGATGGAGTGCACATTAGTTTGCGCCTGGTTTCTTAGGCAGTGCTATAAAAATAGATCTTCTTAAGTCTTCCTGTATATCACCATTGTTGTAGGATTGATGTATTATTTCTGTAATCTTGTTTATGCCGAAATCGTCTAAGGTTGCCCGCATCTCTATTCCAATTACGTCTGGCTCTGTCGCTTTGTTTCTCTTCAATTGGGCCAGTTCAGATTCCACTTCGCTATTTCTGTCTATTGCCGGTCGTTCTCTTTCGTCATTGAACGATATACTCGTTCTATATCTGAAGTATTTTTTCATTCTCTAATATCATCGTTCTGTCCTTGGAGTTTATGCATCCTGTTGATGAGTATGTCTTTTGTTCGGTTAGTTCTCTTATTTTTATGCATATCTCCTTTATCTGTGATACTCATTCTTTATATGTTTGCATATTGTCTAACATGGAATAAAAAGATTCGATTTCTTCTTCCGTACTTTGTACTGTCGGTGCATAGACAATTATAATAGATATATTGAAAGGCTTTCCTTTTAGTTTAACTACAATAATTCTATCAGATAACTGACAGTACCCCGAGACGCATTTCTTGATGTCTTGATCTAGTATCAATCTAACTCCTTTTTCATTTTTCTCTCTGCCTGCATATATAATCCCGCGGTTGTCACTGACAAAATCTCCATTGCTTGAACACCTATAATGGATTACATAGGGAATTGTTAAATTTATACTAATGACCCGAACTATTATGACCCCCTGCTTAATGAGGTGTTGGTCACTAATGTTCTTGTAATCATGTGCTGACTATTATTTGTTTCATTGGCCGTGCATCATTCAACACATATTTCTCCACGTTTGTTGCAGGTTCCTAGTCAGAATTTGCCAGCTATTTCTCCTTCCCTCTTCTTGTCTGTTTTGGCATTCAGGACTCGCATGATATTTATAATTTCTTGTGTTTTACACTGTTCCTTGGCGTTGTCTAACATAGAGTAGAAAGATTCGATTTCTTTTTCCGTTCTTTGTGCCATCGGTGCATACACGATTATAATAGAAATGTTGAAAGGCTTTCCTTTCAGTTTAACTACAAGAATTCTTTCAGATAGATGACAGTATCCCTGAACCCACTTCTTGATGTCTTCATCTAGTATCAATCCAACTCCTTTTTTCGTTTTTCTCTCCGCCTGCATATATAATCCTGCGGTTGTCACTGACAAAATCTTCGTTGTTTGGCCATTTTCTCTCTTGTTAATGTCATGAATTACGAATGCACGCGCTAATATGTATTGCTGATAATCTGATAGTGAGGTTTATCAAATATTTAAAATAGACATGAACTTCTTGGGAAATATAGTGGAGTAGTTTGCCGTTATCTTCTACTTTCTATAAAAAAAAAAGATGAAGCTAAAGAGCTCAGTATACCCCTACTAATTAACCCATAGCTGAGAGAGAAGAGGAAATGGATACATGCCTTTCCCAAGTGCACGTGCCTAATATGTATTGCTGATATTCTGATAGTGAGGATTGTAAAATATTTAATTTATTTAGAAACCACGAGAACATTCCTTCCAACCAGATATTAATATCTGAATACTGATGTGATCATATTGTAATGGCAATAGCAATATTAGCCGTTTCCCTAAAAGGAAACATTTGTCATTTATTGAGCGAGCAGCCAGTATCGCAATTAGTTAAAATTTATAAAACCTTACTCTTAAAACAATTTTTCAGGAAAATAGGTTTTCTTCAGTATCTGTAATCGGTCTTTGCTGCATTTATGCGGGTTTTCCTTCCTAGGCTAATCGTACGGTCATATCATTTTGAAACATCAGTCCCTGTACGTTCACTGAAGTTAAGCAACGTCGAGCCTAGTCAGTACTAAGATAGGTGACTGTTTGGTAATACCAGGTGCTGTAAACTTGGATATGCTAGTGGTGTAATCGATAATTGTTAATCGGAAAACCGAATTCCAATTCTTACGATCTAAAAATATTTTCTTTTTTTTTAAATAATCTGCAAATGGTTGATAAGCCTTAAAAAAGGAATCAACCAATAAATCCTTCCTAACCTTTTGTCTGAAATGGCGTGGAATATCAACATCTTGATTGTGTCATTATTTTCTATTCGAGTTACACGTTCTATCCGTTTTAGTTGTTGCTGCTGTTGGTAGTCCTCAAGTGATATTGATTCTGTTGTTTTGTTGTCTTTGTTTGCGATTCTGTAGCGCCAGTCCACAAGATTCGAAGAAGTATGATCTTTACTTCAGGCTTTACTTGCTCAAAATTATTTTTAACCATTCTCTGCCATCCATAACATACATATGAAAGTTTTGATCTGATGAGGTTATTTAAGAACATGACTCGAGTTTCTCAAGTTGATATTTTGGTTTTGCAGCAATTTGCTGCGTTGTATGAAACTGCCTCTGACGCAACCTATGTTCAATTTCCTTTTCTACGATGCTAAATTTTTTTATAACTGATCTATATGCCGAAGTATTTTACAGTTTTTAGCATTAACTAATTCCACATCCTGAATTTTTATGATGGATTCAAGGAAAGTGCCATCACTGCTTTCGTTCCAGTTCCAGATCAGACTACATGGTGCCCAATAAAAAGAAAAGCCACAAATTTATGATTGTTTTATCTTTCAGGAATAACTGATCTTGAATAACCTTGAATAAATTTCTTGAATATTCATAACCTTGAATGATCATTCCACTCTCGCTTAATTACTTAACTTCGATTGGCTATTTTATGATTGATTAATTGCTGCTCGATCTTCTGACTTTTCATTTAAAGGTTATTTGTAAACAACTTTCGTCTTTCGTTTTGTCCTTCTCGTATGGTTAAACAATTGACTGATTATGAGCGTCAAGTTATTATACGTTTCCAAGAAGAGCATCAGACATGGGAATTGACGAAATATGTAAAAATTAACTTGAATTCTTCACTCACATCAGTCGACACCAGTTTTCAACAATTGTCTCACGTCTTTCGGAATTTAACGCTTTTTTTTTTGTACTGGGCACTCTGTAATTTGTGTAAGTAGGATTTGGGCATTTGAGAAAAGTGAAAATATTATTTAAGCATTTAATATTATAATACCGATATTAAAATCTGGACGCCATTTTATAATGCATAGTTGTAATATTGAGATCTTAGAAAAGAAATTATTTATGTATTATTATCAGAATGTCGACATTACCAACAAACGGTACATGCGCCATATGCATTTGCATTTTGTTTATTTGAAAAGTGAAAAATGTAATTCAATCTGTTAAAATCAGAATACAAACATTAATATTGTATCAGCAGTTGATGTTTTCTTTTTCGTCTTTGTTTTAAAAAACCATGTCCGTTCTGGACAAAGATTATCATAGCTTTCATCAGATTCTTTTTTCTTTCAGTATCTGCCTATATTTCTGAGCTGAGGTGTTATGTACACTTTACATTATTCGGACTATTGTCCTCTTCTTTGTTCTTATATTTATCACAACGTTTCGACCGTTGTACGCTCCGGCCTTCTTCAGGTAGTTGGAATGTCGAACTGAAACCTTTATTTCGCTCGCTGGGGTAGACTGTTCTAGTTCCACGTGCTATGTCTAATGGATGTCAGTTATCAGTTATCTCCTGTCAATTCCCCTCTTCAAGTTCTTCACTGCATTAACCAGGTATTGAACTCACACTCTTTGGGTCCTGTCACTAGATCTAACTACCACATGGCACAGTGGATAAAGGCATAATAATGACTTTATCCACTGTGCCATGTGGAAACAAAGATGAGGACAATAGTCCGAATAATGTAAATAGTGTCTTTTTTTCTTTATCATCTGTAAATAGACATGAACTTCTTGGGAAAGAGAGTGGAATACTTTTGCATTCCCTTCTCCTTTCTATAAAAAAGATGAAGCTATGGAGCCGAGTCTACACTACTAATTAACTTATAGCTGGGAGAGAAGAGGAAATGGATTCATGCCTTTCCCAAGTAAGTAAATGCAAAGACTCTGCCGGAATTTGAAATCGGCTCGCTGATTCCTCTGTCCGCACTGTTAATACTGTATGGTGCTGCTCTTCTTATAATTTCTCATTTGATTTTGGTGGTGATATTTTCTTTTTGGCTACATGCATATTTTGACAGGGTTGTATTGTTTGTGTATTTTTTCTTTCGAATGATATTTTGTGGTTATAATATCTTTCTTTTAAGTTTTTTTTTCTGTGGGGCCTATGTAAATTCTTTCGTCTATGTTAATGTTATTAGTTACAATAGCTTTGTATATTATGTTATTCAGCACCAATTCTCTGTGTTCGTCTTTCAAAAAGTGTGGTTGGTTCACAGAAGCTTTTCATCGCTATAATATATTGAGGCGAGTTGCCAGCCACCCTGTAGAATGAAAAAAAAAATAAACACCTATTAAAGGGCGGAAGAACACTTGACGAATCAACGACCAGCTAACGAGAAGTAGTGTCCCAATAAAATCACCGTGGTGGAGGCAACGGAAAACCACTGCAATATCAAACCGAAGAACATTTATGACTCGATAATATAGTAATACCGACATTAAAAATGTGATGACCTCCTCGGATGTAAGACGGTAACTTAAAAGAGATTAAAATCAATCTATAAATATCAGAATTCCTTCCTTTTCTTTTTTTTCTTTTTTTTTTTTTTTTTTAACTGATAGTTCACCCAAAGGTCCAATGCTCACTTAAGGTAGAGTGTGTTGTAAGGAAAGGGAAATGAAGAATTAAGAAATATATATTATAACGATATGTTGGATAGATATCGGTTGAACTTTGAACTGAAGAGACCAACATTGTTGATGTCAGGGAACATCCTCTCGAATGCCTGTTATACAACAGTTCTAGAGAAGAAACTAAGTGGAACTTGCAACTTATCAAAGGAACACGAAAGGAATGGAGTTGTTTTACCACTGTGAACATAGAATGTTAGGTCGTAGCAATGAGGATCTGACCTGGCGAAACTAAGGGAGGTAATACGTCCGTACATCTGACATAGTAATCATGATAGATGAATGAAAGTTTAACAATCTTTCATCTGTATGATAAGGGTCGCAAGATGGAGATTAATTCTTTACTTACAAAGCAGCATATGTGTTTTGAAATCGATATTTTTAATGGGATTGCCTTTTAGCATACCTGATTATATTTATCACCCAGCCCTGTATCGTTATTCTATTCTAAATCTAATGAAGCCTCTAATGTACACGGAAACTCTCTAATCTATGATGAAGCCTCTAATGTACAGGGGAAACTCTCTAATCTATGATGAAGCCTCTAATATACAGGGGAACTCTCAAATCTATGATGAAGCCTCTAATGTACAGGGGAACTCTCTAATCTATGATGAAGCATCTAATGTACAGGGGAACTCTCTAATCTATGATGAAGCCTCTAATGTACAGGGGTGTGGAATAACACAATATTTCCACCTACATTTTACGCACGCGCGAGTTTTCCTCCCTTCCTTCCACACTTGTGCGTGTTTGCGCGCGCGTGCGCGCCGATTGCACCCCTTCCTCTCAACTTAATCTAGACATAGCAGTAAACAGCCTCTTTTGGCTGGAGTGAGGAAGGTTGCTTACTAGCTACTCCTGATAACGTCTAAATTCAGAATTTGATTTTTTTCCCGCGCGTTTTCCTGACATCACAGACGAACAGCGTTTCCAACTCAGTAGCGGCCTGATCTTCAAGCTAGACGGTTCACTCATATATTCCGTGCCCCTAACCCATACGCGGGTCGGAATATCTTATTCCTAACTAACCAAAATTTCAACATGTCGATATTACTTTTTCCAAGAGTTATCCCCGTCTTGAAGCAACCGCTTGTTGAACCTTTTCTCCGTTTTCAACGAGAAAATGTCGAGTTCCTACGACACCGTCGTCAATATATATTTTTCCAGGACAACTTCTTGTCTGGATGCGAACAACTTTCGAACTTTCCTCTATTCACTACCAGAGTTCTACAACACGGTCGCTCTCACACCATTCCGAGACTCAACCTCGTCTTGATGCAAACAACTCTGAATTCTCCTCAATGAAAGTTGATAATCTGTTCATACACCTTTGAACCTTCTAACTACTTTGAGCCAGTACCAAAGAAATATTACATTACACTCACACAATCAAACTTCACAGTGAGTACTTTTCTTATTTGTGTACACATACACCTTGCGTTTAACAAGTCATTTTTCCAGAAGTTTTTTTCTGATGAAACTTCTCCCGCCTAGCTATCTTGGTTTTCTATTTTGGCGCGGAACACAGACATTCCTTCAGTGACTACTTGTCACGACATTTTTTCATTAATTTCTAAGATCCAGTAACTTCACTGATGGTCTCAACTGACGAGACAACTTACTTGTTTAAATATAATAAAATTTCATTTATGTTTCTCAACCAGACTCATTTTGTCGTTTAATTCCGGCGATCTACTTGTATTGTATTTATGCACTTGTTGAATGACCCCTTTTCCTCACTAAGTTCACTCACTCAATACTTTTACTTTGTTTGTGGATTCTGTAGTCATAAGTAGTGTCTGGCACAAGGCCACTTTGTAATAAACCAGCACTGCACGCTACAGGGTCCGCAACAGGGGAAACTCTCTAATCTATGATGAAGCATCTAATGTACAGGGGAAACTCTCTAATCTATGATGAAGCATCTAATGTACAGGGGAAACTCTCTAATCTATGATGAAGCATCTAATGTACAGGAGAACTTTCTAATGTATGATGAAGCCTCTAATGTACAGGGGAACTCTTTAATCTATGATGAAGCATCTAATGTACAGGAGAACTGTCTAATCTATGATGATGCCTCTAATGTACAGGGAAACTCGCTAATCTATGATGAAATATATAATGTACAGGAGAAACTCTCTAATCTATGATGAAGCCTCTC